TTCTAGTTAATACAATGTTTTATTTGATATTAGTTTCCCTCTGTTTCAAAATGTAAGTTGTTTTAGTTAAAAACGCAAATATTAAGAAATTAATTTTTTACTAAAAATATCAATTAATATATTTATTAAAAGTAATTTGACCAATCATATAAAAGACTGCAAAATACTAGTGGTCACACAATATTCAATAAAGTTAAAAAGTATATAGGATTGTCAAAACAACTTACATTTTGAAACAAAAAAACTCCAAAACAACTTATATTTTGAAATAGAGGGAGTACTATTAAGTTTAAAAGTATGGATAAAAATGGAAAAATTAATTATAAATATGCATTAAAATTGTAGAATGACAAGTAATATGAAACAAAAAAATTAAATATAGAATGATAATTAATGTGAAACGGAAGGAATATTTGGTTGGTGATTAATGGGGATTGGGATGTTGGCTCCGTATAAACTTTTCTCTTTTTTTTTCCGACTTACAATTATTGTATTTGTCTTTTTCCAATTTCAATAAAGAAGCTTTTAACAAAGAAAAATCAGAAAAAAAAAAACAAGAGGGACGGTCAATTATTGAAAATGAATGGCAGAGTATTTTTTTCATTTCTTTTTTCCTCTTTTTTTTATATATGTCTTGATGTCTTGTAATAATATCCCTCTTTCACGAGAAAGAGAGAATACTGTGGGACTTGGGAGAGAGAGAGATGGAAAGGAATGGTTCTTCAAAATTTGGTCATGTCCTCATGCTTCTTCTGCTTCTTAGCATCCTCTTTCACCATACCGAATCTGCTTTGCCTTCTAATCATGAACAACTCTCAATAACTGGTTAGTATTTCAATACACACATACAAATACTCGTCTCTAATGGCAGAGGCTGTAGCTACCCCTGTAGCTACCCGTGAAGCTATATTCGATGCAGCTGCGAAAAATTAATACTGAAATATATACGCATATAAGTTTAACTAGACCATGTAGTCAATTGATTTGTCTTAGCGTCGTTAATGAGTCACCATCCCGATTCAAATCACAGTACATGTAGTTGATAGAAAATAGTTGTATATAATACGTGGGTTTATAGTACTAGCTAG